GCTAATTTAAAACTGTACAGTATATTGTAATTAAGTGCCGTATTTTCATCATACTTGGTCGAAATCCATCTTTGCTCACTATGTTAAAATATAGCACTAATATGATAAAGATTCATTCACTTAGTGAGCTATTAAAAATAAAAATATTGTTTTTTATACCTTAAATTTTATCTTTTAATTTGCAAAAAAATACTTCATTATTCAATAGCTATTCTATTTTTATAAGTAGATTTTTCGAAATCATAATTTAATAAGTTCTGGTTCATTTTATTTATTATTCAATTTTGAATTCGTACTTTAATTATCTTGATTTTTTTAAATAACATTTATATGTATATATATTTAGTTTTGGTGGTTAAATAAATATTGTAATGCAAGTTCGAACCCATATCTTTGCTGCCTAAATATAGGTCATGTTTCTTAAAAGGAACATGTTGTAATCAGCTTTTAACTTTTGCACAACCTATTACAAATACAATTGTAGCAATACCTTAAACTAAAATGTGCTTTATTTCATTCCAGTATAGTATTTTAAAGTGCGAAAAAGGACAACATTAATCACGCAAACAATTCTATAAATGATATTTATATAGAATCGATTTACATTCAGTTTAAAACTTTTGTCATTAAATAAAATATATCGAGACTTTTTGACTAAGAAATATGGGCGATATCGGAATTTAAACATTATGATAATCTTAAGAAAATAATGTACATTTTACTATATTCTTCAAATTTGATTAAGTTACTTTATTTTTACATTGGCCTATATTTTCAAATTTCATTTGAGTAACATAATGATATTTGAAAATCATTATTGATAATACTCAACATATTGATAAAAATACGATCTTAAAGTTACCGTTTTCGTATTCGATATTTATCGAAAAGATGGTATTCACGATGTATCAAAAGAATACTTTTTAAATTATTGTATTTTGTTATGTTTAATAAATGCCGCCATTTTATGATACATCCCATAACACTTGTAAGTAATCATTTTTGAAACATAGATTGTATGTTGTGAAAAATCTGAAAGCCCTTATAATATATTTCAAACAGAAAAGAAAAAAAAAACAGTAATTTTCCTACACATAAACGCCAAAGAAAAAACAAACAAAAATGATTAAGTGCATATTTCAGCGAAGTTCGAAATAACAATAGATTTATTAAGTTTATAAAATTTGTTGTCGAATTCCCTTTTAAAATCATTCCTGCTGTATTGCAGGTGATACTCACTAAAGAGCGCCAACATCTCTTTGACGGATAGGCTTTAGCGGGTGGGCGGAGATTACGACTCCCTATCCAGACCTGTTCTTCCGGTACATAACTTTTAGTTTTGTGACGTCATTAGGACGTCATAGCGTAGAAGTAAAATTTCATGGCGCGTGCGTGCGAGTATTTCTGCTGGGTTGCCATTTAAATGTGTAATTCGCTCTTTGACTTAATGTAACACTTTGTTGACTCGAAATTCCCTGCTTTATGGCGAATTTAGATAACAATTGTTATAAAGTATTACCTGAAAAGAATTTTTCATCCTTTATTTATTTTAGTATCGTATGAGCTTAGTGATTGCAAATAAACTTCCGTTATCTATTGTGAGAATTGTCGGTATCTGTAACTATGCATTTTTTCCTTAAACAATTTTTTTTTCCCACAAACAATTTTTTTAACAGCATCTTTTTTTAAATTTTAGCAAACGATGTTTTTTAATTGTCTTCAATTATTAATAATAGGGTTAGTTATAATTAGTAAAAACATCAAGGATACTTTTTACTACTTAAATGTGAATTCCACATTACCCGAATAGCTAAGTATCTGTATCAAATTTAAAGAAAGAGAAAAAACAAAAACAAAAAAGGCCATAAAAATAAAAGCACACAGAAAGTCCGACAGAAAGAAAGCCGTCCGTCCTTTTTTTGTTTGTTATTTATTGATTTAACCCTTTGTCGTAGCATTTTTACTAAGCATGGAACAACGCAACAACGTTGTATTTTTCTGTTCTTAAAGTCATATCCACCAAACATGGCTCACATCCAAACAATAATTTTTCCAATTTGGATTTATTTAGATTTAAAAGAAACAGTTATTCATCATTGAAATTTGTTTATTTTGCAAAGTGAATTATTGATAAATTTTTGCATGTGAACCAGGAATAATTTTTCAAACTGCTTTTTTTAAATTGTACATTTTAGTACAAATTTAGTTTTCCGATAATCTAACAGATTTTTTTCTATTAAATTATCGGAACTCTATTAGATTTCTAAATTTGTAATCTAACAGATTACAAATTTAGTTTTCCGATAATCTAACAGATTTTTTTAATAACTATTAGACTGTGCTTTATAATTAAAAAATACCAATATATATTTTTGCTTGTAATCAGAACATCAAAAAAAAAAAAAAAATTATATACATGAAAGGGACACCAATGTCCTGTATGCGTCGAAGGGGTTAATCTGTTACACGAGTTTCGAGAAGTTTACGAGTCTGTTTACGAGTTTTGTTATTTTAGAGAAACATAAGGTTCTCAGTTTTATCTTATTATTTACTTTTTATTATTTTTATGATTGGGTGGGTTTTAAAAAAAATAGCAATATCAAAAAAAACATTAAATTTTTTTTTCTTCTACTCTGACATTAAATTACATATTTTTAGGATGCTCGAAAAGTCGTTTTTATGGTTAAATGACGATAATTGTAAAACAACTTAACCCATTTATTATATTGTAAGCTGCGGTGTTCGATTTTCATTAATTCAATCTTTAATTTAAAAGATTAATTTAAAATAATTTCTTTATAGTTTTCGAATTTTTAAACGTTCTTTCCACCCGATTTTAACATTTTTTTTTTGTACATTTGTTTTAAAAAAAAAGAAAATATTCGTTAGAAGTAAGTGAAATAATTTGTTAGAAAGAAAGCAACTTTAATATTCTTTTAAAAAGTTTGTAATTGAATGAAGTAATTAATAAAATTATGCATAATAGTTTTTTTTTTCTTAGTGCGCGAAATATATATAAAATGAGAAGTTTTTATAAATATTTCAAAACTTATCTAACATGGGGCAATTTGAAAATGATGTTTTTGGAATTAACAAACGCAAAACATATTTCACTAAAAAAATTTCGTGTAGACAGTGAATAATCTACGTGATTACAGATACACTTAACAATTTTTCAAATGTTATTTTTAACTGCAATCTTAATAAAAAATATTTTAAGTCAGAAAAATTAACTCCCTAAAATAAAGTTAAATAATTGTTTAGAAAATTTTAAGTGTTAATTTTTTAGGCATAATAAAATTAGGAATGAAAGAAAAATGCATGTAATTACACTTTTTCAATAGATCACAAAAAGTTAATGAGAATTATTTTTAAACAATTTGATTTATAATGAATAATGCATTTTTATATTGAAATCGGTGCCTTTTGCTTTACACAAATTTATGCGCAAACATAAATCAAAATTTACGTTTTAATTTAATTTACTTTAAGATTTGGAAATGAAATTTTAATATAAAAATTTTCGGTAACTCATGCAATCTTGTAACTTGGCATTCGAAATTAAATAAATATTAATACAAGAATAAAACTTAGATATAAAATGAATTAATTAATTTCGTTTATTAAGATACACTTTTTCAATAGATCACAAAAAGTTAATGAAAATTATTTTTAAACAATTTGATTTATATTGAATAATGCATTTTTATATTGAAATCGGTGCCTTTTGCTTTACACAAATTTATGCGCAAACATAAATCAAAATTTACGTCTTGATTTAATTTACTTTAAGATTTGGAAATGAAATTTTAAGGTAAAAATTTTCGGTAACGCATGCAATCTCGTAACTCGTCATTCGAAATTAAATAAATATTAATACAAGAATAAAACTTAAGATATAAAATTAATTAATTTATTTAAAGCGTTTATTAAGATTATTATTACTGAATTTTTTCTGAACACATACTATGCAGTTTGAAGAAAGTTTCTATGAATTTTAAATCTCTCCTGTTACTTTAGGGGTTGGTAGAGGATTAAGTATCACGCGCAATATTGTTATTATTGTTTATACAGGGCCTCATTATCGCACGGGTCTACGGGGCTAGCGACAGTGTTTGAAGAGGCACTAAATATCTGTAAACAGTATTTATCTTTAATTCAACTTTTTTATTCTTTATTTACTGAATAAATATTTTATATGAATCACTACGTTTTGTAGAACAATATTTGTTATTATAATCATTAATTGCTTTAATGAATAAAAATCTCTCAGTTTCTATGCTTCTGTTGATTTTACACGAAGAATTTAATTACAATTCGACGTTCTTCCCAATTGTAAAATGAAAAAAAAAAAAATATTATTCGTATTCCATACAAGGTTCATAAGTTAAAATTTCTTTATTACAGAAAGAGATAATATTTTAAAGATGCATCCAGGTTTTAATAACATTTTGGAATTTTTTTTAAGTGTGATTTTTTTTTATTCAGGTTTCTTGAAAATTTAAAAACGGCTCATTTCGAAAGGGGGGCACTAAACCGAAGTTCATACCTTGGACTCAAGTTCAACATTGTCGAACCCTGCGTCTACATTTATTGACATTTTTTGAGATGTAATGTGTTATAAGTAAAGGGGAAGTTTTAAGTTTGAAAAAAGTCGAAGCACTAAATCTAAAAATACGTCAAGAATCAAATAAGTATTTCTTAAATTTTTTAATAAGCAAAGTCCATTTTAGATAACATGCCGAAGATTTAATAGTGCATAATTGTTACTTTATATATGTTTAGCACGTGTCAACAGCAACGAAATATTATTATTCGTGAAGAACAACAAGGAGAAAAAAAAGGACACTTTTAAAATAGAACGCTAAGTATCTGATAAACCTCCCAGTCGAGTATGAAGCAATAATAAACGCTGAATCAACCCAAGAATACGTTGGTACCGTTAGCTTGTTTATCGACTGAGTTGGCTGTTTTCGCGTCACTTTGGCGCCCGATGACGATTGGCTTCCCTCCTTCTACCATCGGGCAACCCCAACTCTGAAAATTTGGCAGAGCTTTAGTATCATTATTTCGCCGTATGATTCTAGAAGCGGATGTTTCGAACGGCGTCTGAAACTTGAATTAATTTTTTTTTATTTACTCCTCTTTTTTTTCCTGAACAAATGGTCAGGATGTCGACTGTATCACGGAGTCATCGTCAACATTGTTACCTTTGCGACCTACCTCGCATGCCATGGGCTATGTTGCATGATTTCTCTGAACCTGTCTGCCGGGGCTGCGTTAACTACGAAGGGGCTGATAGAATTGAAATAGTGTTGGACAATGCTCGGCAAATGAAACGGGCCCATAGTTTTCAAGAAAGTCCCAGACAACAACAGCCATCATTCAAATCCTCAGGTGGACAGAGGACATCTGTTTCACACGAAGGGGGATTAAACGGAGTAGCAGAAGGAATTCTTACTCCACCACATAGCGTTCCTGGTACACCACATGCTACAGTGTCACGTTCCCCTGTACCAGTCGAACGATACAGTAGTCATGACAGTCGTCAAGCTAGGGCTATGTTGGAATTTAATGGACAAAGGCTTCATCCTCACAGAGTGGAAGCTACTGTAGACGTTGTGTCGGCCCACGACACCTCCGTCTTGAATCGGGGCAGCCCTAGTTTGGTATCCCGTACACATCCCGTTGCGCCCCCGCCTCTGCCACCACCGGTACCTCACTTGCCTCTGGCGGCCAGACAGAACTCAAATGCCGGGAAGCGTACTAGTTCTGAACGGGACGATGAAGATGGGGCGCACCCCACTGAATCTAAAAGACACATGGTTGTAGAAGAACACGGACGACCGCCCCTTACTCGGGGTGAGTCTCTGCCTGCTGCCGTTATGGGAGTGCCATTTGATGCTCGATTTAAAAAAGAACATGCCATGGTGGGAAGGGTTTTCTCTTTTGATCAAGCTAATCCAAACATGAAAGCAGGTATGTAGTAATGTACAGTTTAGTATGAGTCAGGTTTTTTTCTAATTTTTAATCAAATATAAATATTGTATTTTACAAGTTAATTTATAAAGCAAATACATCTGTGTGAAAATTCGAAATTGTCAAATTTCAAAACGCTGAATAAAACTCTCGTGGTGACTTAAAAAAGGTATTTAAAACTAATATTAAAGTTAATTTGCTACCGTTGATGAAAATCTATAAATCCCGTGCGAATCCTGTTTAGTTGTAGAATAAGCAATTTTTTTCATATTTGTAATTCATTTTATGGAAATGTTTTTCTATATTTTAATATACATAGTAAAATCAATGCGGGCAAAGTAATAGAAAATTTTTCGTTAAATGCACTGAATGTTTATGACTGTCTGCCTACCATTAAGTAATGTTATATTTCTTTAGAATATGATCTATATTAAAAGTGATTGGTTCCTACTTTATTTTCACCTTCTGAAATTATATTGATTAACGATCTGTTTTTGGTATTAATTATTAATTGTGTAACTATGAACAAAACCTAATAACCTCAACGCAACCAAGGGAATGTGACAAAAACTCCGGTAAACTAATTTATTCGTTAATATATTCATGCATGTCTGAATAATTAAAATATAAATAAAATAATTAATTAATTAATAAAATCAAATAATTTAAAATTTTAGATCATAATTGTTGTTATTTCGAAATCATATTTTATTTTATATTCCATTAATTTAGATTCAATGTAAACTTTTTTTTAATGGAATTCACGTCATTTAATTTTATTCATTGATCGGCAAATAATAACAAAATAATACTGTACTGGAGGAACTTGTAGGAATTTGAATTTATTAAGGTTTGCATTTTTTTTTTTTTTTTAACGTATCGCAATTTAGCTGTATATTTTGATTCCACACCATCAGTAATAAATTGAGCAGTTATTTTAGTTTGCATCTTTGTTTTCGTCATATAAGATAAATGTACTGGGCAAAATTTTTTAATATGCTATTGCGATTTGAATCAAATGTCTGATTAATTCGGCGTATTTTTTTCAATTTATTTTGCTGTATTTTAACATTACTCGTTTTTATCAAACACTACCGTAAATTAATAGTTATAGATTGTTTATTTTTTTTGTATGACTTATTAATTTTCTTTTTTTCAAAAATCTTTTTAATATTTTAGTTCAGTCAATAAGTTTTTTATTTCTGATTTATTATTTCTGCCTATGGAGAAGTGGATCTTACAATGGGCTTATAATCGTACTGTAAAACCGTTTCTCCGCATACTCCGTAACATGACCGTAAAAGCATAAACAAGTAAAGCTCGCGCTATTATCCAAAGTATATAGTAAAGCTATTATCCAAAGCTCGCGTTATTTAAAGCTTTCGAATTTATATTCGTGAAATCATGTATGCATTTAAATAACACTAATTACTATTTTTTTTAAAAACTTTATTTTAATCTCTGCATTATTATACATTTATGCACGTAATATTTTTGTGTTTAAATGTGTTATGTGATATTACACAAAAAATGTATCATTTATAAAAATTTTACATAATAGTTTTACTAAATTTATGCAAGTTACAAAAATCTGTAAAAAATTTTTTACTTGTATATTTGAGTGATATTTTGACTTTAAGAATGTCGCTAAAATTTTTTACTGACGGTTAACATAATAAACAGTCTTAAATAAAAGAATCTGTATAAATTGCATAATTTAGTATATTCTGTTTTATTAACTTTCTTAAGCTATTTAAAATAGTTGTATTGCGTTTTGCAATTGCCGTTTTTAAAATTCAATGTCTTTGGGGTGTATAAAATTTAGTTTTCATACATAACTAAAACATCTGAAAAATTAATTTTGAAGTTTTGTACATTCTAAATAATTTTATCCATTAATTTAAGTGAGCATAGATTATTTTTAAAGTATTGACTTAAATAATTAGGTTAGAAGACCTGATTTTATTACATCAATTTTTATTCGCAAATTATTACTGTCATGTAATTTTTGAAATTTGTTATGAAAGACATTCATCAGTTTTGAACAGACGCTGTTTGCCTAAAATTTTTCATTATATTTTGAATTATATAAATTAGTAATTTAGAATTATTTAATTCAACAAATAAATGAAATAAGTTCTGTTTTTTGATTTATGGGTAACGAAAATATTGAAACTGTAATTGGAAAAATTTTAAGTAATTTGAATCTTACGAAATTTTTTTTCTTCAGAACTGTACAGTTTACTATTAATCGATTTGCTGATTATTATTAAAATTTACACATATCGTCCTTTTTTGTTCTTAGATATAAATCTGAATTTAAACCAAAACATATATAGATAATTAAATGCTTTTTTGGTAACACTTGATATTTAATGAGCTTTTGTAACAAAGACATTAAGTTATCTTTTTGTAACATAGTATTTATTGCCTTTTTTTTCAACTAAGTCATTTAAATGTGTTTTTGAATGAATTATAAATGCGCGTAAAGAAATCTATATTTTTTGCAGTTTATTATATATGTTGTATAATACTAGGAAAGCTGATCATATTTATGTCGCTTTTAAGTTTAACTACCTAAAAAAATCACTCTGGCTGCCTCGTTATGTTGCTAGTTTTCTCTGACATGAGTAGGAGTAGAAATTGAATAGAATACAAAACCATTTTCATTGAAATCTGGTTGCATATATTCCTTTCTTAAAGCTAGTTTATTATAAAAATGAATCAGAATCCGATATTTGGTTGACGTTTTAATCATGAACACTAGAATACTGCAATAAAAATGTCTCTTATTAGTTTGTTGACACTAGCATCACAACGTTGTATATGATACCCATAGACAAAATAATATTAATCAGTAATGTAACAAATTAAAAGAAATAAAAGATTTCATTTCTTTTTATTGTAAACCATGAATTAATTATCTCAAGTAAATTCAAGTTACTATATCAAGAGTTCTCCTTAGGAGTAAGAAAGGGAGAAAAGAGCACTTATGAGTTCTGAAATTGCAACACTCACTTAACACCATAAAAAATTGATCAAAATGTGTAATTTTATGTAATGATCCTCAACAGTTTTTAAGTTACCGTCCTATACTATTTTATGTGCATATTTCAAAAAGTAATTTTCACTCATTACCTAAATAAGAGAATAATTTGTAGTTAATAAAAAATAATTTTAGGCATGCCAAAGGACAACGTCTGCATTAATTTTTTTTTCTTCGAAAAAAGTAAGCTAAGAAGAAAAAAAATAATATTTTTCTAAACAGCTTAAAAGATTTTTCTATTATTTATACTGAAAATTATTTCAAAATAAACAGTTAAAGGTGATTTTTTTTAAAGAAAAAATAAGGTATTTATTTAGAATTTAACCAGTTGAAAATAATTCTAACAGAGTAAATATTTGTAATAGTCATCATAATTAAACCTATAAACACGGATAATTTTTGTGTAAAATTATTTTATTAACAGTTAATTATTTTTCCTTAAAATTGAATAAAAAAATCAGTGTTTTTAGGGATGGCGGTTTATTTTTACAAAAAGGGCACCCTTCAAAAAACGCTTCGGGAGGATACTGAAGAAATAAACCCAAAATTGTAATCGTGTGAGCTATTTTTTGCGAAGGACGAATTGCATAATATTTAACAGTAGGAAACAAATACGTAACAAATATCGACATCGTATTCAGTTTAGAGATTTAATACCCACAGTGATGAAAGAACTGGGGGAAAATGTTCAACTAAGCGGAATGTGAAACAGGTGAAAAGGGGAAGGGGTTTGGAAACTACGTGTTGCCGTTTCCGCGATGGCATTTGATAGCCGAATTGTCATAGCTTTTCTGAGCCTGCAGGGGATGCAGACACGCACGCTTCAACCTCTACATCGTGTGTGACGTCAGCAATGACGTAAGGTTGAGTTGGACTGATTCTTCCCGAGGCATCATGGGGATGAGACTGTTGTTTCCAATTTGGTTGGAGAATTTCAAAATAGACTGCGCGTAAACTTGGGACACCGCCTACTTGATTCTTTGTATCTTCACCGACTTGATGTTTTTTAGTCCTTTATCTTAATAAAGATTTTAATATTCATTCACTTCTGCTAGGATTGCAATAAGCTCATGATTATTTTAATAAAAAAGATGTCATAAATTGCTTTTTGAAGAAAATAAAATTATTTTTTTGATACATTTTTTTTATGACCAAATAAAATGAATTGTTGAAGCATGACACTAACACTACCTATAGATAGTTTTAGTTATATGTTTTCGCAATTCATTTATTTATGTTAGTTTAGTTTTGCATATTACATTCTTCCAAATGTCAGAAAGGTTATTTTGGTGTCAAATATTAGTAGAACACACACACAAAAAGAACTTATCAGTCAAATTAGGTTAGTCAATACGTTACGTGTAACAGCTAGTATTTGCATATTTATAATATACGTATTTTAGTTACTTTGATAATTAACAAAATGGAATTCCCTGAGATAATGATTTATTTTGAGACGTTAGTTAAAATATTCTTTTGACTGTTAGGAAAAAATAAAGATTGTATTATCCGTAATGAGATATTAAGCTCATAATTATCTTCTATTAAAAGTATTTATATTGAAAACATTCTATAAAGAATTCCTGTCGTTCAATGTGATCATTTCGATTATCTAGCTAACTTTCGGTCAAAGCGATGTTTTCGCTAGACTGTTATTCAGTTAGGTTATTTTACGGAAGTTAATTTGCAAATTGTAGCTTTCTTAAATATTAAAGTGTTTGGTAGTATTGAAATTTTTCTGTACCAATTATAAATATTATAACTGTACTATTATAATTATTTCTGTACTATTATAATTATTTTATTAAAATATTATAAGCTATGATATTAGCGATGTTAGTTTATATTTTTAAATGTTAGCGTATATATTTTTTATTTGTTTTTAAGAACCTTATCGTCTCTCAGTGAATGATTCATTTGATTGAAGCCCTCAATATAAATTAAGATTAACGCTTTAGCCATAATATGCATCATTGCAATGAATTAAAAGCATATATTGTATTAATCTAAAAATATGCAATTTTTCAAATCTCGATTTTTGCAAGTTTTAGCTTTTTGAAAAACTATCACTTACCAATAAAATGAATTAATTGTTTTCTCACTATATTTACTCTTGAATTCAACTTTGATTATTCGAATAAAATCTAATAAATAATTAATTTCATTGGTATAAACTAGGGAAGATGCATTGACATTTTCCATTCTCAGAGAAGAATGAGTCGATATTATGAGTCGATAAATTTTTAATGAGTCAATAAATGTTTTTTCCATCTCGTCTAGAATAATATGCATTTGAATTTATGTTGTAATATTTCAAACAAGACAAAAATAGCGGTGAAAAAATAATTAATCTTGCAATAAGGAAGGAAAATTCTATTGTTAATTTAGGGCTATCAAATTTCCATTTCATTAAATTCCTTTCGTGATGTCATTTCCCTCTTTTGTGACGTCAGGGAATGGCAGTGTACCGTGACCCTCAAGTATTAAATGTTATCTCGCTCACGTGGATACGTAGTGAAAGCAGCGTGTTTGTGTGTGCAGATTAAAAGATGTTAGCATGTACCTCTACCTTTTTCCGATGTCACTAAGTAGTACTAAATCTTTATGAGTGTCGGTTTACATTCCTTTATTGATTTTAAGATTTTTTTTGTTTTTTTGTTTTAAGATTTTTAATTGTTTTTTTTTTTATTTTTTATTTTCAATTGCAATTATTGTAATTAATTTTAACCTACCTCATAAAGCTTAAAAAAATAAATAAAAATGCTACTATTAAATAATAAAGTAATTTTATTACATTGATTATTATATACGTAATTTAAACTGTGTTAACAGGTTGGGAAATCTAAATTACCAGATATTTGAATTAAAGTAACGGTAGACGTTTACAAGGGAACATTCGCCACTTCTCAGAGAGTTAAGACTTGTTTAAATTTACGGCTTAATGCATGAAGAACCATAAAACTTTCTCTGCATGGTTCGATAAACGAGATAATCTGTCCATTTCTTTAATGTTTGGTATCTGTTACTGTCTTAAACTCTAATTATGATCATTAGTTGATTATCAAATCTTTTGTGAGATGTTAAAAATTTTTATTATCAGATGAAGTCGCAGATGTTTAAGAGAAAAAACGTTCTTAGAATTAGTTCCTTTTTCAATCTAGAGCCCACAATTAGTTCCATTTTCAATCTAGAGCCCACATCTCTTCAAATCCAACGCAAATAGTATGAAATATTTTTTCCATAATTTAATTAGCTTTGTTTTGAATATGATTAGGAGAATATTTCTTGTATACATAATTTAAATTCCCTGTAAACTAAAATGGGACCTAAAATAGCGTCATTTTATTGTAAATTTTTTTTTTTTTTTTGAATTTGTTTTAGTTAAATGTTTTGTGTAATATGCTATTTGAGCACTTAAAAATGAGAATTTAAAAATTGACACTTTAAAAATGGACATTGTAAATTTCAATAGAGCAAAGCTGTAATTAATATTTAATATATGTTTATTGATGGATTTTATATAGGTTGTATATGATCCGTTTTAGATATCATTCATAATCATTATTTTTAAAGCCAAATAAAAACTTCATTGAGTTAATGATTTTTTTTCCTCTTCATTTTTCAGCATTCAATGCCGTAAGTTCCGTTCCAACCTCAGTCACAAGCACAGTTTCGCCTCTTGGTAACCGTACTGTAAGCCCACCTGAAGGTACTGTTGTTGCTGTTCAATCTGGTGGTCAAACACCCATGGCTGCATTAATGTCTGTAGCTGATAGCCTACCTCCAGGTTCTCCAAGAAATGGCATTGCGGAAGGTACTGTCAATGGAACAAGCAGACCAGGATCTGCTGCTAGACACTCGCCAAATGCTGTCGCCAATGGTAATATATTTTTTAATGCAATCTTCATTAATTTCTATTCAATGTCAATTTTACAGCTGATTCAATCGAATTTTAACATGTGTTCTATTGCTAATGATTCATGATTCCAATCTAATTTATTTCCAACTAGAAAATAATTTTAGTTTCTCATACTTTATTTTGAAATCATAATAACAAACACCAAATGCTTTCTTTCTTAGTAACTGAAGCGTTAAGAGGAATAACTTGTCTATTGATAGCTGTGTGAATTTTAAAAAAAATTTAAATTGTATAGAAACTTATTGTATTATTGAAATCCACTTTATTCAGTAAAATTTGTAAGCCTTGTTTGAAAAAGGCTAAACTCTATTTATTATTAGAAAAAGAAGAAAAGAAAATGAAGATAGAGAAGATTTATAGGAACTTTAAAATCGTGTTATCTTATTTTTATAATTGGTAAATGACCAGCTTGTTTCTGCTGCTAAACAAAGGACGTATAGGGCTTTGTTGGTTGAAACGAAATTTATATTAATTTCTTTTTACACTTTTTATAAGGGTGCAGTTAGGCCATTATTCAAAAAAGGCCTTTATTTATTCAATGCCTTTATTTATTACCGTTGACTTGAACAAATTCATCTGAGCTAAACTTTTGAATTTGTCCTTGCCTGATTCTATTATTCTTGAGTTAAAGTGCAAACTATATGTGCCACATCTAAATTCATATTGATCATTATATTATTATTTTTTTATTTGTTCTTTTCATGCATACATAAAAAAGAAAAATTTAATAAATAATTATTTGTTATAAGCTCTATTAGATTTATTAGAAACCAAATGCAAGTTCCTTTTCCATTTGCTTTGTAAGTTTATTCATTGCATTCTGACTCTTAGTAAAACAACTGTAATTTTCTAATTGGATGAAAACTCTATAAAATTTTAAAATAATGATCAAAACGTTGCTAATTTTTACATATTTATTGTTATTCATAACAAATAATTGAAGATAATGTAATGTAGTTATCTTTTAAACCAAGACTAGTATTGCTTGTACACTTACGTGCTCTCATGTATACTTTCATTTATTCTTTTCTGTTTATAACTAATTTGGCTAAGATTTTCTTAACTCTAAAATGATATTTATATCTTGTTTTCATTATATTTAAGTAAAATGGTTGAAATTTAAGAGGATTATAAATAAAAAATCTACTTGCTTTAACTATAACATAAAATATATAATTCTCTATATATTTTCATTTTATTCAAGTCTTGTAAAAAGATGTTATACATAAAAAATAAATATTCTTATCTATTTAAAATTCTTAAAACTAGTTTAAAATTTTGCGTATTAAAATTTTCCTAACTTTTTTCAAATTGGTGAAAATTAAAAGCCAGATTAATATGAGGGCGGCTGACGTGTTGTGGTATTGTCAGTGTAAATCTTATCATTGTTAAACACAAAAATTATTTACCAGAGAATTACTAAGTCTAGCTTAACTACGTGCACATAAAAATAATGCCCTTTACTTAGTTTACCAAAATTAATATTTTTTTCCATTAATCTTTTTCTTGTTACTAATAGTGAGTTTATTTATAGGAAAAAAGAATACTTCATCTGCTAGGTCTACAACCTCTGTTGAACCAGACAGTAATACTACTACTTCATCAACTGGAGCCGCAGCCACCACAACGACCACTACCAGTGGTGATGGTGTGACCTCTGCACCACCTCTTAAATGCACTCTTTGCAATGAACGCTTAGAAGATACACATTTTGTCCAGTGCCCTTCCGTTCCAAACCATAAATTCTGTTTCCCATGCTCCAGGGAGAGCATTAAGAGTCAAGGTGCTTCAAGTGGTAACGAAGTTTACTGTCCTAGTGGAGAGAAATGTCCTCTTGCTGGTTCTAGTGTACCCTGGGCTTTCATGCAAGGTGAAATAGCTACCATTCTTGGGGAGGAGCAGTTGAAAATCAAAAAGGAGAGGGAGTCTTAAAACAACAGATGAATGCATTTAGGATCCTGATTTCCTCATAAAGTTGTCTTGTTGCCCGCATTCATGGCAGCCATTGATGTTAGTGGCTTGTTTACGAACCAGGCATCCCTCCTGTCTGCTGCAAATAAAATAATCCTTGGTTGGAAATGATTCCTACAATCTATTGTGGCTGTTGTAGGTGAAAACTGCAGACGTGCCATCTGGGGATTCTGCTTCTTATTGGTGGCAACAGTTGAAACAAAGTTGGCCATATTAAATATTAAAAAACGAAATGGTGGATTAAGTCCTGTTGCTCATTTTCCTGCCGTTGCTGATTTCAGAACAGCTTCAGTATCAGTTTTGAAAGTAGTAGATATAACTAAATGTTTGCTGCAAATTTCGTTATGCTGCTTCTTGCTCGTTTTTTATTTCGAGTGGTGCAGTGTCTTTCTCATGCTCATCTTTAATTTTGTTTTTGTCTCATTCATGTACACTACTTGTCTTTAAAAATAAACTTTCTTGTCATTTACTTAAAAGGAAGCATCGATGCCATTATTTTTTCACCCAATTAGTTATGTAGCCTCTGGGATGCGCATTTGAAATATAGAATGATTTTGCCATTTGAACTAGAGTAGGTTTAGTTTTTAAACAAAAAAGTGCTTAAGTTGTTGTCTCCTTGCAGTGTTATTTAGCAAGGTATAATTATCCTGTGTATTAGGATATGTAAGTGTCGTTAAAGTTTTAGTCTAATGTGTATGGTATTGTGCCAGTGTTCATTTCTCTATCTTGTTAACCACCAATTAATAACATGATTGTCTGTATTTGTATTGTTAATTAAACATATACATGATTAACTGGTAGAAAATATTTTTTGATTTTTGAGTTGTTTAGCTGAGCCTGAATTTTTTGAGTAGTAAAAGATATATTAAGTTCCTAGGTTCATTTTTTTGATAACGTATGTGTAGATTACAATTGTTGATTAAACATGTACATGGTTATTAGTTAGTAAAAGGGATTAAATTAATTAAGCATTTTAACAGATGTTTTTTTTATATATATATTTTTTTTTAAGTTCGAATATCAAAAAAAAGGGGAAGTATGTCAAAAAGCTTTGTAAATATTTAAGTTCCTAGGTTCATCTTTTTGTTTGAATTGCATGTATTTTTACTTGTTACAAACTGCACAATGTTGATTTCATAGATTATTCATACTTGTTAGATATGTACATATTGAAAATTTTATGTTTTATTCCTAGCAAGAGCTTTATATTCTCCATGGAGATTGTGTTGTTAACGTTTTTTCAGCCTTGGTGTTAATGTTTAATTTTTTTCATTGTTTAATTAATAAACACATTTTTAAAGTTATTGAGCAAGTGTATATAAATGTAAAGTTTTTTTTTTCCTTCTCATGTAAATAAATTATGTAAAAAGTTGTTTTTGGCTCAGCAATTAAACGTGTCACAGTGACTATAAATTTGTTGATGAAATAACTACCCCTAGTCACTGCTTTTTAGTGAAATTTAGTTCTGTAATACATTTAATTGTTATTGGTGTTTCATAAATTGCACATCAAATTGTATCATCTATTTCTGCTTACTGTCCAAATGTAAATAAAGTACTACTCAATTTTGAAATGATAAGTTTGTCATTTTATCTTAAGTAATAAGTTACACAACAATATAAAATTCTAGTCACAGAAACAAATTTACACCCTTTTGATTTTTTTATAATTATTTCAAAACAACGATAATATTTCAACAAAATTCATCTAAATATAACTTTTGTTGAAATATTAGGTTTTAAGAGAAATTTTCTACTTAAAATTTAAGAATTTCGACACAAATGTACTCTTAAAAATTATTGATGAACATTTTATTCAATGCGTCATTAAAAATTTTAAATTCCTTGTTGCTGCCAAAAAAGCTTAACTACATAGCGTTTTTAATAATTTTATAAATATTAAATTAAACTTCATCTTCGGAATATTTAATCATTATACCTAGTAATAACAATAAATTGCCTTTTTCAGAATCTTCAAAATTACATACAAATCATTTTTATAATCGACAGATTTTTCAATTGCGCCCTTAAGGGATTCTTCTTACTGAATTTTATTTGGTTGATTTAAATTATTTGTTTATTTACAATCTGAACGTAAAATTGCATGCGAAATACTTAAAAAAAAATATGCTGTCTTCATTTATAATTTTTTTTTACATGATAGAATTATAAAAATAATTCAATATTATATTAATAATCACGGTACATAAAAGATGCTTATTCGTAAAATTCGTTTTAAGTTATTTAGTACGTAACAGCGTATTTTCAACAGACTCTTTATTGTTTATAACTTATTTGAAAAACATAAATTAATTCCACATGTTGAATTTGCCGAAACTCGATATCTTCTGTTGTTGACACATCACCACAGAGGTTCAATGATCAAGAATTAGAATTATTATCAATTAACGAATCATACATATATTTATCAAACTTTATGCAGGGTGTTCCATAAAAACCGCTTTTAATTTGTATTTTTAGAAACCTTATCAAAAGTAAACAAAACACCAAACGCAATGGGGTTGTCAAATCTATATTTAATCGAGAAGTAATCAAATTTGAAATCTGACAATTTGTAACAGAGGAAGGTTAATGCAATAAGTATTAAATCAGGTTTAATTGGAGGTTGTATCGTAACTTGAAAGCGTTAATAGCAATCGTCCTTCAACTCTCTCCTGTTATTTATGTTCTTTAAAGTATCCTTCCTGCACTGTGGTGTATCAGATTTCGTAGAGATTTTGTTTTATTCTAACTTGAATATTAACTTTCATCCCGCAATGTGCATAATTTTTGTTTTCAGTTTTGGTAAGAATTCTAGTATGAATACTAGGGCTGTCTTTAGCCAACACCCAGGTAGGGTAATTCGAAGGTCTATTTCGTAAGATTATACAAATGGCACTGCACTAAATAAGTTATTAAAATGTACCTATCATTCCTATATTAAAAAGTTGAGGGAGGTGTACTTACTATGAGCAGGGATCTGTCCAGAGCATTTTGTGTGGTCCTGTTTTTGTAAAATTGTGGAAAAACTACTCATAATTTGTGAATATAAAATGAGGGTTAAGTCTCATTCTTTCAACCTGGGTCCTGCTTTTGTGCAAATAGGGTCCTGTTATTGCAAAAATAGCTGAAAGCCTTTTCAATAAGTTATTAAATTGTAAATAGATACAAGATTCTGCTCAATAATTACTGCTATTAAAGTAGAGATGCAACATACAAATATTTGGAATTTAGCCTATACTATTCAACGCAGAATATTCATTTCGGACAAATAATTGAAATAAAATCGCTCAGATTTTTAATAATTTCAAGTGACATATTTTAAATAACACAATTTAGTTATGTATCACTTTTAATTTGAACAATTCTTAAATTTATAATATTTAATTTTCAAAATTGCCGGAAATAAATTTTTATTTAGATAATATTCTATTAATTAATTTTATGAAAAAATAAAAATTGATCGATTATTTATTTACAAAAAAAAAAATGTCATTTAATATCAAGAGAATGTGCGTGCACACGATGTTTCTAAAAATAGAAATATTTTCTTAGAATACTACATTTGGAATTAAGCTTAGGGAAACTTGGAAAACTTAGTTCGTTTCGAACCGTCTTTTTTCCCCTCCCCCGGGGGAAGGGTTTATTCGATTAACAAAACAATAATGAAGATAAACAAATTTGTGAAGGGTCCGATTAAAAGATAAATTATTTTGTGAAGCCTATTGTGGTCCGTTTTTATGAAAAGATGTTTTGCCTAATTAATTAATCTGAGATACAGTCGAATTCTATTCGAATTTAATTGCTCGAATCACTACATAAATATCATTTCTAAAAAATATTTTAAGAATTTTTTTTTACATATTTTCTCAACATAGTGCGTATGTTAATGGTATTTCATTGTCTTTTGTAAAATTAATAATTGTCCCTCAAATTTGAATATATTTAAAATAAAAGTTTTTACCTTTCTTCAGCTTTATAATGCAGTAAAAACTATAAGAATGCTATAGTTTTAATTTTAAATAGCGTAGCACTAATTTGAAATGAAATTAATACAAATTAAAGAAACAATAATTCACAGTGATTTAAATATATTCAGATGTAAAAAAAATTTGTTTTTCGTCCTAATCAAGATATATCATAGATTTAGATATTAATTCGACCAAGTGATTTTACTGATTTGAAACATAAGATTTCGAATGTAAAATTAGTTTTAAGTTATTTCGAATCAATTTAATGTGATTTCAATCACTAATCTATTTTAGAGTTTCTGGGCTTACCTTTATAGGTTTTGCCTACTCTGTTCGAATCATTTGGATTTTAGATTAAATTTTTCTTTTTTTTTTCTTTTATTACAAAACAAATATTTGTAAATCTAAAACAGTGTTTGCCTCTTTATAAATAGCATTTGTTCTGAACACATTTGATTTCATAAGCGGCAATAACTGTGCTTAGGAAAAAAGTTTCAAAAGTTAAACTTTGCAAATACACAAAAGGATAAAATTATAATTACAAGTATATTTCATTTTTACTAAATTGACATTTTCATGAAATATAATCTAAAATTTTTTATTTATTGAAGGGATTTAAGTTATTAGCTTATTTACTTGATAAGCAAAACTTGAATAAAGATTCAACACACTTTTTGTTTGCTGTAAAGTTAATTTTATACTATCAAGCGCTTTTCAGACTCTATTGAAGATTTCATAATTTAATTTTATAACCGTCATTGAACGGCAGACCTAATTTTTGGGTTTACGACTACCAATGTTCAACGCCATGGCCTGGTAATTTTGAACCCAATCCAGAAGACAAGGGAACTCCTAGTTTATTGGCAGAAATTTGCATTCGTGGAGGACTTTTTAATGGAATTAACTCTCATTTGCGTTACATGGAGAGGAGAACTACGAAAACTTTCCACTGTTAGCCTGACGGCAAGAGAACTCTTACCCATGATTCGTCTATCACTGAAGATATTTTAGGTCAGCACTGTGGCTGGGTGCGGAATTCGAATCACCCAGCTATCGCTGGGATCAAACCCGGATTACCTCATTGGGAGGCAAGCGCTCTATCCCCTGAGCCACCGCAACTCATCTATTGTAGATTGACAGGAACAGCCCACAGAACCGAGAAGGCAGCCCTTTATAAGTGATGGGGCACCTTCTAAGATAACAATTTTTTGCTCATTATTTGTGTACTTAAATTTGCATATATCTAAATTTATTATTTTTATACTATATAGCCTTTAAAATTTAAAAAAGTAGAAAATGTTTATAAATGTTTTAAAATTACGCTTTAACAAAAATGCGATTTTACAAAACGGCGAAAATGATTTTATAAAATTATAATTTTAGTATGTGTTAGAATAGTGATGATTCCGTTCTTGAAGATTTGATTTTAAAAAGCGGCAAATTTCATAATCTAGAGATTTTATTTGTGGGGGTCACTTTAAAATAAACAATCAATTAAAAGGTAACAAAACTACAGACATCTCGCAATTATCTTTAAGACTGTGAAGAATTCGCTTACTAAACTTAGGATAACAAAACTATGTACAAGTTGTTTCGTATTTACAACCTTTGATATTTAGTTTAGAAGCGAAAGAAATAAAAAAACACCTTCATACATTTTTCGTTTAGCACTTCAACTGGTTTTGCGGTTTTTAATCCCATCTTACTTAATAGCTATTCGTTAGATTTCGATATTTTTTGTTTGTTTTTCCTTGTTAAATATATATTTATTTTGATATATATCAAATATATATTATAAATAAATCTCTTATATTTATTTTGATTTTACTTTAAACAGGATTCCAAAAAAGGTGCGAAACACCATGTACATTGCATTTTTCCATTTAAATTTTTGAAATATTTATTTTTTAAGATTAAATTTATGAATGCTAGAAGCTTTGTCTCCTGTTCGCTCCGCTCACCATCTCTCCTGGTTGCTTCTCAATTATCATTGCAGATCAAGGGAGGAGAACAATTTTATGTCCATTTTTTTTACAAAAATTATGATTGGATTTATTAAGTTTTGTCTAAATAATAAGTTGAAAAATCAGTTCCTCCCGTGAGTTAGTACACAGTGAAGATCGGCCGTGCTGTGGAAAAAAGTTCATGCTCGTGTATAACATTACTTTTTGAATCAGTCTTTATGGACATAAATTGCTCTTCTCCTTTGATCTTCTTAAAGGTTTTTTCCGTAAAAGTTGATAAAAAAGATAATTTTATTTATAGAATGTATTATTATCGTTATCTTATTTAAACGCCTTTTACGAATATATTGATCGTCATGGAATGAAAGGATAGCTGAATTTGAAAAATAATCATCTGTACTTAAAAAATATTTTAAAAATACAATTGCAACAAAAAAAAAACACTTAAAATTGCAGTAATATTTGGAGAAAGTTTTCTCTCTCGTTTAAGTTATAATTTAAAATTGTCCTATCAGCACATCGAATTTCAATTCTATTCCTCAATTAGTCATTTCAGCGGACTAATTTGATCGATCAAAAATTATTATTATTTTTTTTTACTTCTAGTTTCTAAATTTTATATACTATGAGCAGCAAAGCAAAATGTTATGTAAAGCAAAAACAAATGAGAAAAAAGCACTTGGAACTACAACTATTTTCGAACAAATAGGAATTTCGAAAAAAAAAAAAAAAAACTTGTGATTTTAGTTTATAAACAAATATCACCCTTTCAACTTGCCAAAATTCAACTCCGTAGTTTCATTACTGCGGCCTGTTGTAGAGTAGCCGTATAGTATTTTTTTCAACAAGTTTAACAGTTAATAATTCTCGAATATTATTTTTTTTTATTTAATCACTTTTCTACACACTTCAGTAATTTCAAGTGTCTAAGTCTTATAGCTTTTGCACAGTAAAACAAAATTTAACAATAGTTGCGGTGGTGGCTTTTACGAATTTTTAATATAGAAAGATTTTTTTATCTGTAAAATGACTTTATTTTATAGAGATATTATCGAAATAATAATTATTATAGTTTATAGGAAAAAAACTTAATATTTTTTTTTAAAGATAAGCAAACTAATTTTGTCAGATTATATTGTTTACGTGAATCGTAAAATGTTATATACACCTAATAAAAAGATAAGGAACAACAAAACAAAAAGTTTAGTTACGACATAATGTGATATAACTGTATAGAAAATATAATAACATATTTTAAAAGAGTAAAACATTTTATTTTTTTGTTTTTCTTACAATGGTAAGCAAGGAATTACTATAAACAATATAATTATGCAGTTAATGAATGAGACATTTTATTATACTTGATGAGTATTTCAAGTGGAAAAAAAAACAATATTTCAAAAGTATTTCATAATGTTAACTGAAGGGTTTGCTGGCTGTAACACAATTACGAACCACGATTGTTTTTGTACAAGAAAAGTTGTCAAATTGTTTTCAAAATTTTTCAACGCATGAAAACTAAATTGAACTAAACAATTTAGCAATTGTTTGGTTCATTAAAATTAATAGTTTTGAATATCTGTGTGTGTGAGTGTGATACACAGAATATTTTTTTAAAAAATAAATATCGTATTTAAATAGTAAAACAGTAAAAAGAGTAATTTTCATGACCTTATGCTCCCCAACAATTTATAGCAAGTTTCATTATATATTTTGTATGCAATTCTTATCTAGCATAATTTTTTTTTTTGTGAAAAATCAGAATCAAATTCATAAAAACAAAAATTCTGACGAATCATTATAAAGGTCATTTGATGTATAGAAGGTACTAAAGTTGAGAAAAGAGAATATATTTCTGCGGTATTTAAAATTAACTAAATATTACAGCTCTAATAAATTAATGTTTTTATTATGCAAAGATACGGCAAAGTATCCATACGATAGTACTGAAAGAAGTGATACTTTTTCTTACTGTTTTCTTCACATCGATGTTTTTCAACGATGCTGTCAGGGTCTCAAAAATAGATTAATTCATTTATATATGACAATATAATTTTTTTTTGTCAATAATTCAGTTTTTTTAAACATGTTGCAAATCTTTTTCCTTCATTTAACTCGACTTATCTATTATTTTATTTTTTAACCGGTCTATTATTTTATTAAACCGTAAACAGCCGACTCCATGTTCAACTCCGTATCCTTGTAGTTTTGAACCCACCCTGGAAGAGAAGGAAGTTCTGAATCAAGCATTGGGACAAACTTCCCTTCGTCGAGAACTTTTCGATGCAACTCATCCGCATTTGCGTTTCATGGTGAGGAAAACCACAAAACACCCACCGTTAACCGGGCGGTAATGGGGTTCCAACCCGAACTCCTTCTACCACTTCAAGAAAGAATTTTTCCTGGTCACACTTCTTATTAAACAAGCTTATAACGAGATGAAAAGGAAAGTTCTTAATTTCGTTTATTGGTAAGAATTAAGATCATAACACTGTCTCAAATAATATTATAGATAGGAATTAAATATTCAGGGGAAGGGGACGAGGGGATTGTAAATTAGCTATTTGTGCAACTTTTAAATAATTTCTTTTGTAATAAAGGAAAAACCATTATGGTTAACCATTACCTATTACCATAACCACCAAAACCATAGTTATGGTTATTACCTTCTTCACGATAAGTTTATATGGTAAACAAAATTACTAAAACTTAACTGATCTCGCCAAAATTGTTATAGTAACCGAACACACTGTTTATTTTAAATCATATTTATTGTGTAACAGTAATCGAACAAATTAGTTTAGGCCATCATCTTTTACTAATTTAAGTTATGTTATAAAATCTTTTCCTTGGGGGGGGGGGGTGGANGGGGGGGGGGTAAAGTATTGATTATTGTTTGTCTAAACGAGGAATCAAGTGTTTCAGTCCGATTCAATACTAATACAATAGTGTTAATGATTCCCAATACATCCGCCGATTTTAAATTTGTTTTGAAAAAGAATGGTCTTCATAGTAACGGAAAATATTAAATGACTTATCGTGCAGTTATTTAGTGATTGAACGGCTTTATAAATGAAATTAAGAGATTCGAGAGGGCGAAGCGAGCGGATTCAAATTTAGAAAATTGTTTGAAAAATTCGTTAGAATTGTAGCAAAAATCGAAGAAGGGTGGGATTTCGAATTTTATATTCCTCATGAAATAATTATATGTTATAAATTGTTACCATCAATTAATTGATTAACTTGCATTGATTCCAAAATAATAAAGCTGTATGTTAATTTTATGTCTGATTATTTTACCGTAAAAAAAAGCCCCCTCAGGTATTCCTATGAGGTATTTTTCATGGAAAGACAATAGGAAAAACATGAACAACAGTTAACAAACAATTATGAAATAAACAATTACAGAACAAACAATTATGGAACAGAGAGAGTTATTTTTTTCTCCAGAGTTATATATGAATATAATAGATTTACAACCTTATCTTCAATTAGTCCATCTCTCAAAAATACCACATTTCACAGCTTGTTTTGTAATTGAAACTGATATTTTGATAACGTTATTTGATTCAATTTTATGATTATTATATTTGATTTTCTTGGAAATAAAAAAAAATGACGCAGTAAATTCTGTACCTTTCTTTACTGAAAAAGAAAATTTATCTTTTGATCGTCATAAGATATCTGGTGATAAGGAGGCTTAGAGTGAAGGTATTTCTTAATAGCAATTCTTATTAATTAATTATAAAATGTAATCTACAATCAATTTTGCCATAACTATTTTTTTTAATGATCATAACCATTGTATATCACAAAATTCTATCATCGTATCACAAACTTTTAAATTGTTGTTTATAATTGTTTTATAGTTTAGAAAATTTTATATAGTATTTAATCACATTTTTAAATTATGCTTTGATAAAATTTTTAATCAAACTGATGTTCAAATTTTTATAATGATACTAATCATAATGAATTATTAATGATACTAACCACTGTATCACATGATTCTATCGTCACATGACTATTGTGCATCATTTTTTAATTTTTGTGTAAAATTGTTTTATAAGTTTAGTAACCTTCAATATTGAATAACGTTTTAAAATTATGTTTTGACAATATTTCTAAACAAGCTGACATTCAAACTTTGATTTAAAATAAATAGTTTAATGTATGGTTAAAAAAAATTTTTATTATGTTTTTGAATAGAAGTCTAATTTGTGTGAAAAAAATATTTTTATATCATTTTTAAAAATTTATTTTTCATGTTTGAAAATTTTTATATTGTTTTATCTGAAATACAGACATGTCGTAAAATATAATTAACGTAATTATAGAAACTGCATTGCCATTATTAGTTGTGACTTGAGACTTTTAAAATAGAGGGAATTTTTGAATAAAGTATTAAATGTTTTACACTACTACTGGACCATCTACTCATTATAATAACAATAAATTAAGTAATGCTTTTGTTCATCAATATTGCAATTATAATTAATGTCAGAAAATAGACGCAATCACCTAATAATTAAAAAAATCGATAAATTTTCCATTCCTTAATACTGAACAAAAGTACTACAGTAATCGATAAATTTGTTCATTTCTTAATTCTAATCAAAAATATAACAGCAATCTATAGATTTCTACATTTCTTAATACTAAACAAAAAAAGAAAAAACTAGATATGAAATTCACAGAACAGTTATTAAATGGCATAAAAATCTTAACACTAAACTAATATGGTAAAATTTAAAATCCATTATAAATACAGCTCTACAATTTTAAATAGTATCTTTTTGTTCATTATATAATATGCATCTTCATTGACGTTGTGTTAATTAATGTAAATGAATAGGGATGTTTACTTAGAATGAATAAATTTTTTCATAGCTTAATGCTGAACAAAAAAAAAGAGAAAAAAAAGACAGGATTTAAATTTCAGGAACCATTATTAAATGTCACAAAAATCAAAGACCTAAACTAATGCGCTAAATTTTAAAATCAACTACTAATTTTAAATCAGTGCAGTTCCACAATTTTAATTATCATCTTTTTGTTTTTTAATTAATGTAAGTTGCATTAATTAATGTAAGTCAGTAGAAGCAAAAATATAATAAAAATAAAAGCAATAAATTATTATAATAAAATTTAAAATCAATTTTTATCTTTATCAGAATAAGTCAATAATGTAACTTTTGAGTGCATTCTTTCATTTTTAAATTAAAACTTATGGATTTTAAAATTGTCTGTAACTATGTTAAATAAAATAATACTTTTGAAAGAATGTTAATATACTTATATTAATTGATAACTGAATTTTATGAATTGCATGCTTCATATTTACAGTCTCAAATGAAGTTAATTTAACGGAGTTGATTAACGAAGTTAATTTAATGAATGTTAATTTAATGAAGTTAATTTAATGAAGTTAATACATAAAGGATACATATAGACTATTTAAAACTTGATGGACAATTTGATGGACTTTTGAAGTTTTATCGAGGATTAATTTCCGAAAAAATGGCATCAGTCCATAAATGTCAATATTGTATATCGAACAAGTTTTGTACGAAAAATCATAATGAAATATGCGATTAATTTATTATATTTCAGTAGCTATTAGTAGTATATTACTTTAAAGCTAAATATTATATTTTTTTTTTCAGAATACACTTTGAAATGTATAAAAATGCACAATTCGAAATAATTCATTCTCTGAAATATTCAAAATTGAAATTTTTTTTCTAGAGATCTATTAAGCAACATTTCAAATAACCTTAGGTTTCAGTCTGCAAGGAATTTGATACAAATAAATATAAGAAGAATTGATAAGTAAGATAAGAAAACAGTTAAGATTATGTAATCAATGGTCCCCAAGTGATTACATAAGATCAAAGCATAATAAAGATAAGATAAATCACTAAACTAGCTTTCAACACCATACTTATAAACATATAATTTTATATGTGAATGTCTTCTGATATAAATCATGAATGCTGGTTGATCCGGCATTCAGGATTCTGAATCGTACTCATTGCCAATCCTGATGTTGTTGCACTTGATATAGTGCAAGTTAGCACTATTCTATTAATTTTACAGAGAATGTAAACAATGTTATACTTTAACACCTTCCAAAATTTTTAACAGTGTAGACAAAAAAGGTTAACTAAAATGTCAAAATTTAGCTAAAAATACTAAAAATGGGAATAAAAATATCCAGCATATGTATAATCTTATGTATTTGAGAGGTAGACTCAAAATGTACAGAGCAATAGCATCCAGTATATCTATAAACTTTTGTATCCTTATGACAGGCTTAATATGTTGAGAGTAATAATATCCAGCATATCTATAACTTTATGCACACGTAAGATAGGTTTAAAATATTGAGAGTAATATCATATAGTATATCTATAAACTTATGTATCTGTATGGTAGGTTCAAACTGTACAGAGCAATAATATCCTGTATATCTATTAACTTATCCGTATGGTATTAATATGGTAATTATAAGAGTAATAATATCCAGTGCAGTTATAAAATTGTGTATCTGTATGGTAGGCCCAAAATGCAGAGAGTAAGAATTTAACAGCATATATTTTACCTTAGGTACTTATTACCTTAGGTACCCGTAAAATACGCTCATAATATAGAACATTCATTATGTCTATTAACTTATGTATCCGTATTATAGGATCAAAATGTAGACAGTATAACAAAACTGCATGTATCCACATGATAGGCTCAAACTTTAAAGAGTAATAATATTAAGTATATCTTTTAACTTATGTATCCATTGGGTAAGCTCAAAATTCATAGAGTAATAATATCCAGTATGTCTATAAACTTATGTATCCCGATTGTAGGCTGAAAGTTTAGAGAGTAATAATATTCAGTATATCTATGACGTTATATATCATTACGGTAGGCTCAAAATGTAGAGGTATTAGCCAACATAGATTATAAAATATTAAGTTCTCTATTCTAAGCTCTTTATGCTGTTAAGGTTGTTTACATGGGCAAGTACGATTGTTTTTGCATAAAAATAATTACTATTCATCAGCATTTTTATTCATCAAAATGTCCATAATTTTCAGGCTGTAATGTTGATGACTCACCAATCATCGTTGATATATCTAGAAAAATGTATTATTTCGATTAGTTATCAAAATTTGTAATTTGTTTATTATCCTTATGAAATTCTTATCCTTTTAAAATTTGAAAGCAATATAAAATTCTAAAAACAATTATCTAAATAAAATAGAAATTAATGGAACTACTTAATATTCAATTTATCATTCAGTCTTCATAAAAAAAATTTTTCTCAATAAAGAAAATAAAAACTCACAAGCAGCTGTTTTGTCTGTTCCTGAATTTGTTTTTCATCAAAAATAAATCCATCAAAACAAGCTTTTTTTTTTTATCTGCAAAAATCTTTTCTCAGAACTTCTGCTCTTTGTATATTTAATTACTGCAGAATTCAAACTTAATCACTTATTAATTACGTCCTCTCTTTATCTTGCTTTGCTGCTTTAATTTATTTGAACTGCTTAAATGAATAATTTTTGAAATATTTAAATGAATTGGTATCGTCATGTAAGATTATTTTAAATATAAATCTTTTTGGAATCGATATTTTTGTGTCAGCTTGTTTGAAATAATTATTAAAGATAGTATCTTCAGGTAAATTTAGTTAATGACACTAGTTCCGAGTTTTAACTAGTTTAGTCAATTATATTGGTGGTTGTTAACAATCAGCATATTTTATACTATCTTTTATGTGATATGTTAAATCGAACATTTTGTCCTATTCTAATAAGGTAGATAAGTGATGTGGGTTCTAAAAGCAAGAACAAATTTAACACCGGTTTTTTTTTCTCGAAAAGCATCGTAATTGCCAATAATTTAAAACCAACTTAAAAAATGTAGTTAATGTGCTTGATGATTTAAATACTTCATTTGCTTCAAAATATTGAAGACGGTTTTAAAAGTCGATATTCGAGCGCTCAAAAAAAGGATCCCGTTCTCAAGACTTGACAGACATTAATGAGAAAATAAAAGCGATGATTGGCATGTATGAACAGCAAGGTGCAGGCTTCATCTGTATGGGGCTATAAGTCCTCTCGTTGGTTGTTGTGTGGAAGCTCTGTGAAAGGGATACCAGCTCAAACGTTGTCTACGCGGTCTGACCAGGGTCAAAATTGCGTGGCCGTAAAAAGATAGTGCCCTAAAATGGGGCTAAGTGCTTTGTCATGGTTGGGTGATGATGTCGTTGTGATTTCATTAAAATATTGTTAGAATGTTAAAAAAAGAAGAAATGTTGTAAAGATTAACTAGAATAAAACTTTCGTATGCTTTAGCGCGATAGTTTATGGAAAGCATTTAGCTTAGAAAACAGTAGCGATTTAGATTTTTTAGACTTGCTGAAAGCTTTTAAGTTTTGTTTGTTAATGGTAATAACTGAAAAACAATTTCTGCTCACGACACACCTTTAGTCAATGCTTAAAGAGGGTGCTATACTGCCGTTAAATTCCTTCAAGGAAAATAACATAAGTAATTTAAAACTTATAAAAAGTGGGGTCATATAAACCTGGGGCAAATCATGAAGTTTCAAATCCTGAAAAAAAAAGATTTAAAATATCAAAACGTAGACTAATTTTGACAAGAATTTTTCAGTTTTTGCTCTGGGGAAGTAATCCTTTAATAATATATTTGCTTTTTAAAACACTTCTGCAGCATTTGAAACTTCCTGGTTCGTTCTGCGTTCATTTGAATACACTTATTTTTAACTCTGAATTACCGAAGGAGGTAAAATAGAATTTGCCATGAAAAGTTTCTTCCACGGTTTAGCATCCTCGTAATTTGTGCTATAGTAACTCTGTAAAAAATTCCGGATCAAATTACGATATATAGTACCGGTTCTTCGGATGCATCATTCGTAAAATCCATTTTTACCACGAAATATTATACCGTAATTTTTACAGTAATATTTGTTTAATTAGAGTGATTTAGTATTTTTACGATAATCATTACTGTAAAATTAATGGAATATCCGATTTTTTAAACATGTTTCAGTAAAAAATGGATTTTACGGTAAAAAGTACCGGCATCCCGAGTACCCGTACTTTTACTGTAATTTGTTTACAGTGTATATGGAATGGGCGAATATGTTTTTGTAATCTTATTTTTAATCCTTGTTTTTAATAATTAAAAATTTGTCTCAATAAGCCCATTCCAGTTTTATTTATAGGTATTCCCTGAATTTGACCAATGCAGAACGTATCACAACTAATGCAAATGCAGCAACTGTTTGTCACATGCTTTGTAGTGGCTGTAGCAACTCTGATTTTGAGGACTTCTGCCGACGATCATCGTTGCGATCACCCAACCAAAGATACCGGCTATCCTCCGAAGGTATTTCATCAAGTGCTGAATGCATCCGTGATCAATAAATACGACGAAGTCGTTGTCATTGGTGACGTACACGGCTGTCTTGACGAACTGAAGTTGTTGCTTGAAAAGAGCAATACTACAGGTGACAACGTTTTGAAGGTCCTAGCAGGTGACATAACCAGGAAAGGCCCGAAAAGCATTGGAGTGATACGTTTTTTGAGACAGACGCCGTCGATCATAACAGTAAGAGGCAACAATGACCAAAAAATTCTGATGAGACACTTCAAGCACCACCACTTTAACTATCATTTGAAAAAACAGGACATGTTTATCGTAAACATGACCATGGCCGATTTTCATTTCATGCAGCATTTGCCATACACGATTTCTATGCCTTCCTTAAATGCTGTTGTTGTCCATGGTGGTTTACGTCCTGGAGTACCCCTCAGGCACAACCAACCGTATGATATGATGAACATGAGAAACCTGATAAAAGATAGTCGCTGTGCTGGAGGATATAGGCCCTACAATGGAGATGACAAAGGGGCACGCTGGGCACCCTTATGGCAAGGTCCAGTCCATGTCTACTTCGCTCATGATCACCCGAGAAATATGCAAATTTCGCCTTTTGCAACTGGACTTGATACTAGTTGCGTCTATGGGCGATATTTGACAGGTCTATTTTTAAAAGGTCCAAGAAAAGGTCAGGTTGTACAACAAAAAGCGTTAAAGCAGTACTTCCATCATTAGTCGCAACGAAGATATACTGAAGAAAGTCTCTAATTTTTTGTACAGTTAAGAAAAGACTTGCATTTCTATGCTTTCAATAAGATACCTCACTAGTTTCAGAAGCGCCATGTTTGTATATGGATATCTTTCAGGTATATATATTTTTTAATAAAAAGACCAAGTATAGGTCACTTTGTGTAACTAAGTAGATGAAAAGGACATGTTGCACTCGCACAGTGACACTGATGAAGTTCTAATTGTCCCGATGTTGAGTTCTGTGTTTAATATGGTCACAAAAGTCTTAACAAAGGTCCAACGATGGTCCACAAAGATCTTAATAAATGAAATATTGACTGATACAATAACAGTTGAAATGTAATATTGACTTTAGAAAGTAAAAGTGTGTAGTGTGTTTTGTAATCAGATTAAAAATTAGTTAAAAAAATAGTTTTCGATTTGTTTCAGTGTTGTTCTGTGAGTGCGACATGACCAATGCTCTATGGCAGTGTTTCCCAAACTTATGACTTTTGTGTACCCTTTCTAAATTTTTCGTAACGCCGTGTACCACTAATAAAAAAATTGCACAAAAGTTAAAAGTCACAACTGGCTGTTGACACCATTAATTATTAACTGCTAACTCTGCAAAAAAATAGCCAATAGAAAAATAAGTAATCGTCAATTTTCAGTACTAGCTTTGTTTTTTAAATTAAATTTTGTGAAATTTTCGTTTGTTGCAAGATATTTCGCATAAGAACGCGTACCCCCGCTAAACTGCTCCCGTACCCCTGGGGGTACGCGTACCACACTTTGGGAAACACTGCTCTATGGATGGGATTTATACAAATTTTTGTCACAAATATCTCTGAGCATCAATTTGGATACTGTATTATATAACTATTTACAATTTTTTAATTTGCATATTTTTACCTAACGTTATTTACTGAATTTTCAAACACATAGCTTAAAGTTTATATACTTGTGTATGTTTCAATTCAATTAAGTACTCTTGAGATATTTGTGGCTGAAAATTTTATTATCACCAAGGATTTGGTATTAATATTAAAAAGCAGCTTAAAAAGATGGTATGCATTCCTCTAAAGATAACATTTTAGAATAAGTAATAGAAATGTTAAAGCTCTTTCAGTAGCTTTTCATAAAAATTTCTAAATAATTCTACGATGGTTTTGTGTGAATTAGAGAAATATTATTTAAGTACAAAACAAATTTAATTCAATCACTTTTTGCAATGTGGCATTACAACTAGATTTTTTATGCGTGTTTTGCAAATACAATGTGTTAGTTTATATTAAACAGTTTTAATCTAATATTTGATTTCCAAGTGCTTTTTTTTTAATGTTATGTTATGTTCTGTTGTATATATAACCATATGTATAGGGAAATCTGACTGCATGAGTACAAAGAAAAAAGTTTTGGATAAATAAATATACAAATAAGTTAGACATATTTTTGGGTAAACTATGAATGCATAATTAGGTAGCACTAATTATCTTACAAGTCGAACATAACAACACAAAGTGATATTTTCAAATTGTGTTCGGATTAATAGAACATACAAGTATGTTTGAAGTTTTAAAATAAAACTTTTCATACGACTTTTTTCCTTAATTAAATATCTTCAAAAAGATTCCCAATGTTAAATGGATCATAGGTTAACGTCACTTGCGCGTCCGACTAACTATGAGTGGTTTTCCTCCGCATATAAAACAAATGCTGATTTTATTTTTAAAAAATTCTTTTACAGAGACAAGTTTGTTCTAGTGTTTTATCCAGAAATAAGTTAAACAAGAGTTTAAACAAGAGTTTTAGTCTGAAAGATCTTTAAAAATTCTAAAATTTCATTCAACACATTGTACTTAAACATGCGTGTTAGAAATTGAAAGTAATTTTCCTGAAAATTTGAAATTTACGTTAAATGTAAAAAAAGCTTAAGAAAATTTCCCCACATTTTTTTAAATCTCTTCTGCATTGTTTCTAATATTGTTCAGAGTTCCTATAAAACAATCGTCGATGTTTATTTTCCATAGTATGGATTCGCCAAGTTAATTAAGACCAATGTGTTAGAACTGTTCAGCTTTTCTGGAAGAAGACACAAAAACCTCAAATGGCTCAATCAAACATTGAAGTGGTCGTTATCTTGTTTCATCTCTTTCCTGTTTATCTCTTTCCAATAAGCTGGTTAAAAGTAAATAGTTTCCCAGCTGCCACTTTTGAATCAAAATAAAATTACTCTAATTTCACGGGAAAAATAATATGGTCAAAACTACCAGAATATGGTAAAACTTATCGCGAACCTGGGTGTCAGGAAACATAAAAAAATCGGTAATTTTCACCGAAGAGCTTCGGTGATGATTTTGGTAAAATAAACTATAAAATATGTTTTTATAATGTATGATAAAGTTTTGTAAATTTAGCAATTTTATCACACTTAATACATAATTACATACATAATTTTTTTACTAAATATGTGGTAATAAGAGCTAAAATTTAAAACAAGAATTTCCGGTAAACAGTTACATATGAACGGGAAAATTACCAATTGATGGTTTAAATACCATATATGCGGTTTTTATTACCAGAATTATGTTTTTTAAAATTTTTTTTTACCAGAAATGTTATTACTATATAGTACGGTAATTGTAATCTTGCCTTTTTTTTCCTTCTCCGTGTGGAGAATTGTGAAACAAATATGCCTTAGAATTTTAAAAAAAAAAAATCCCAACAATCTCAAAAGATGCCCTAGATTAAAAATAACAAATATCCCTAAAAAATGCTAATTTAATATAAATCCGGGCATTAGTTCTAACATTTGCATGCTTTTTAACGATCGTAGTTGTCAGCACGTAGGATGCTTAGACCTTTCCGACGAGCCCAACTGCTGACAAGGGAAACTAGGGAAGTGTGACTCGCCAATTTTGAAAAAAACTAGTGGGATGTATGCCTTATGAGGAATAATTTTAAGGGGCAACATTCGTTTCGGCCCATAGAAGGTCCTGTGAGAGATAAAAAATAATTCAATATGTAGAAAAATCGGTATTTTATTACTTCAATGCAGACTATTAGTTATTGTAATTGTCTCATACTCCAATTAA